GGCAAGAACCAGATCAATTGAATGAAAAAAATAGATGGTAAAAAAGTTGTTCTGTAAACCGGTTGAATGAATTATCTAGCAAACCAATATTTTACCGCCACAGGTTGGCAAAGAAGAGTTTGATTGATTTTTCGGGCCATACACACTACTGAATGCTAAAGTTCTGGATAGACATAACAAAATTCTCGCAAATAAACATAAATGCGATCGACTGAATCGGCAGACATATGCATTGCTTGTATCAAACTTGTACAATTGACTGCTTTTTGACAACTGTTCTGTCCAAGGATATCATGAGTCGGAGTGGGAAAGAAATTGGTTGAGAAACATGGTTTCGGGTATAGCTGCAGTATATTAGAAATATTATCCTTGGTTAAGCAGACCGGGTTTTTTTTCGTTTCGATAACATTCAAAACTTACTGAAATGTAATACGTCCGGTTACTATACTTCAGACTATTTATTTGAAATGGAGATATTCATGGCATTCTTAGTTTCACAAATTAAGTACCCACAACTTTTGAACACCATCAGTACTTAGGTGATTAGCAACTGATCTTTGAACAAAAATACACAATTGGTTTTACTGGCCTTTGGGGTTAGCCTTCTTTGGTCTCCAGTGGACAGAATAGCCAAGGCCAATTGAACTTAGGATTTCTGAACTACTTTTTCTTTATTTTGCAAACGTCACAATAAATTTAGAGTACGGTAAACCTCTGGTTCCTGGATTTTTCAGCCGTGTCTATCTACGTTGACCTTAGAATAGTTTTACACTCGAGCTGTTTAACAATGGACACCCCACACCGTTAAACGCACACAAACACAAATCTACAATGCGAAAACTTTATTCGCACTCCGACCAGTGCGTTCTTCAACGTGAGCAGGTGAATTGAACAGTTTACTTGAAGTTGCAAGTTGTCAACAATCCCGTTTATGTGAGCATCCTTCGTCAACCGGAGCAAAAGGATAGAACCGTTTGTCACACTGGTAGAGAGTATTAGTAATTGGAGTGGTGTATTACAAACCGTTTTCGCTTTCCATCCATCCGAGATTCGTAGAATGTAGTTTCTGCGTTTCCATGAAGGTAACCTATGTGACAGCCGTCCGTAAACGTTCCCACTGAAAGGTGATAGGGGACCACGGAACAAGGCGAAAGCAGGACGGACCAGCATGGTCGAATGCATTTCTCACTGCAAGTGTGTGGCGTGACAACATCTAAATAAAAGCAATTTATTATGAACAATTTTCCGCTGGAAATGGGTGCAAAGCACGAGTTGTCAGGTTGTCTAAAAAGATCAAATTTGGATTCATCAGCACAGCTTATCAGTTATGTCTCCCTGCTGATATTCGAACGCTGAATCGTCGATGTGAGAGATAAAAGTTTGTGATGTCGGAGTGAAAGAGTTCAGTATGAATGCAAGCATATGACCAATTTCATCCTAGGAATTCGACTCTCGAAGTCCATTTTGTGCAAAACAAACTGAACACCGCTTTATGGTTAAAAACCTCGAAAACACAAGTAATATTACATCTACATAATGCATAACGAAAACCAAATTCCATTCACAAACACCGTCCAGTGTAACGTATGACCGCAGTAATAAAGAATTCAGTATATCAAGTCGTGATTAGGAATTCACAAAGCACTGAACAGCTATTTTAGCTTCTAGGGTATCTTCCACTTTGTCACTGCGTAGATTCAAAAGAGAATCCAATGCAAAATTTTACAGAAAGAGTGCAGGAGTACAGTGCACGCGCCCGCACACCCAATCCGATTTCTGATGGTTTCAAATCGTCCTTTACAGCCTCCGTCTAAATGTTAAGCTCGGCTTCGATGCGCATTCGCGACACTGGATACGCATTGCTGACGATACTGAACATGATTGTAAGACATGTACGTCAGTTTTCAGACTATTACCATTCCGTTTTTCCTTTACTTTAAAAGCAACAAAACGTATTCTCTAAATGAATTGCATCATACACAATGTTCTAGAAAAATAGAAGTGAGAATGTTACTCTCGTAAAGATTGGGCAGCATTCATCCCCCCATTTTTGCAGATGATTTCCCTGTGAAGGGGCATTTCGATGAAGCACGCCTTTCGGAATGCACTTCTTTCAATTATTGCCAATCGTCGAGAAAATTATCCTTTTTCTCTTTTGCCTTGCTTTGCGAACATCTTACTGATTATCCTAATTCCTGCTACGAACAATGTTGCCCTGTCACAACGATTTATATTCGAACCGATAGGTTTTCTTTCGCTCTCATTAAGTGACTCCGTCGTGCTAAAGCGATGGTTGACATGACCGATGTAGATGTAGCAATGTACAATAATTGTCTGTCCTGATTAGAGCTGAAACAACAGTCCTGAACGGAATGTACACTGAGACTGTGGATCTGTACTAATCTGCCGAAAATCTGTGGCTCATGCACCAGTTTTTGTTCCAACTTTGAGGTACTGAACCATCCATTCACTTTTACCTGCCTCAAGCTCCTGCCCATCTCCTTTTCCAACCCATGATGCAATAAACCCGGTTTTTCCAGGTACAGTTCTCCAAGTTTTGAGGGGACTCAAGGTCAACGAAGCTCATGGTCCGGGGCGATTAGCACTCCATTTGTTAAAAGCATGCACCGATCAGCTTATAACAACTATTACGGAATTGTTGTTTAGTAAGAGTGTGTTATCCGGAACGATCCTCGAATGTTGGAGGTCGGTCCGTATCAGACCAATCCCAAAGGAAGTATCATCAATTGACTGCACATTTGTGTTGCTAAATGGTTTTAAACATGTTTTGCTGTACTACATGATACCCTTAAGTAACTCCCATGATCCGTTACAATTTGCTTATAAATCCCACCTGTCAACACTGGACGCTTTCGCCCATTTTGTTCACTCAGTCGCGTCTATTTTAGATAAAGACACAGGTACAGCTCGTTTGACTTTTATTCAGTATGCAAACACCTTAGGTTCTCTCGACCAAAGAGTGCTTACTCAGTTTTCGTTCTCTCCAGGACGGTCTTTATGAACTTTACGAGTTGTCTCTGTGCCACAATCACTTGTACTTAACATCAATAAATGCGTCGATGTTACATTTAGTCTTAAAACTGGCACAGTTATCATTCACTGGTAATTAATCTCCCTCATCTCAAACTTTATGATTAAAGCGCCCACAAATCTGCTTCTGGTAAAAACCTGGGTCTCAACTTCACCCATAACCTGTGCTATCATCAACTGTTTTACAAAAGTTCGAACGCTACCTCATATACATACCGGTTCGAGAAACTGGCCTATCTACATAATCTTATTCTTAAATTTCTTGTCTAAATCTCTTCACACTGGTTATAGTACTCCTCAATATATATTCCTGGTCTGAAAGAAAGCTATCTACCCACCGTACACTTTCGTAAATCGCTGAAAATTCATCCTTTGAGTACACAAAAAGTTTCTTGACTTAACTTCAACAAATATTCGAATCTTTTCCCTTATCACTTATACCAGTATTGCGATGACATTGAAAAAAGTTGTCTATATAATTCCCTCAATCGTATTCCTGGCAGATTTATTGATCTTTCCTTCATAAACACAAGATTTTTGACACATCATCATCTTACGTCCCTGGTTATTATGAGTAAACAGAAAGTCCTCATAGGATAGACCTCTTCTAATATCTATTATAAACTGAACAGTAAAAAGTCGAATTGAATTCAAATCAATGGGCCATTTATTGCCAATAAAAGTCAAAACATTGCGAATCGGTGTTAATTTTTGTTATTTTACATTGACCATGCAACAAACTTGTATTCATTTCTTTTTGCCAATTTTGGCGCACTCGATCAAAGGGTGTGTGCTGTACAGCACAAGCGTGACTTGGGAGATCGGGCGGTGGTCACACTAGTGCTAACCCTAGTCTTTGAGCATTTGACGTTTGGGGTAGGGGTAGGACTGACTAGTATGATATCGATCGCCGTGTTTTATCAAAAACCCATTTTGTTTTAATTAGTTAGTCAAAAGAGTTGCTTCCCAATCGAGTATATTGTGCACAATATTCTTTACCATAAACTGAGAAAACGTAAAGTAGTATCAAAGAATTAGCGGTTTGTGAACAATTCGTACCGTTCATTTTACCCTAAGCGTCACGTTCCATCATCTAATCCGGGAAGCAATTATTTTAAATTTGGAATCCGCTTGAAAAACGTCAATCCTATGAAATCATTAAAACGAGAGAGAGTGAGATATTTTTCAACGCGCAGTTTGCCGAAACGCAGGAACAGAAACACGTCATTTAGGAATACATCGGTTCGTTGGAACGTTTTAATATGTTTGGGTCACTCGCACCAGAAAAGTTTTATCTTGTGAATATAATTATAATATAATAAAAACAGGGAGTCAAAGTGTGTACTACCAAGAAACTGTAACAGTTTTTCAGTTGGATATTCATGGGAGATGAGCTGTGCAGAGATAATCCGAATTAATGAACGAACAGGACGATATGTTTACGTACCAATAATTATTTGTCATTTATAAAAACTATTATTCTCTACCTGTCCTTAAAAATTGTGTTATATTTTATTCCATTCATGTGGAATGTCTTTTCGGGAAATTGCCTCACCGGTTCCTTTTGGGCATCTCTACATAATCTTGGGTATTATCTGTTCCCAGTTAGTTCAAACTCTGATTGGCGTCGAAATGTGATTGGTTCATAATCGGACCAATCAAAATCCAGGGGCACAAGTCTCTCTGAGCCCTAGTAAAATAGAGCACTCTAGTCACGGCATTGTTTTGCCAAGACTTCTACATGCCCATAAACTGGGAAATTATTTCTCTCCAACTTGCAAAATCAGTTTGCTCATGATTCATCCCAATAATACAGAATACAGAATATTGTGTGCAAGAAAAAATTTGGATTAATACATTGTTTCGCACAAGTTCGTCTCTATTACGACGGTTATTGGTCCAAGCACGCAAACGTTCCATGCCCTGGTTTTTCACTATGTACCTGAAATATGAAACTTATGACTTCAGTACAGTCTTCACCTCGGTTGGGATTTATACCATCTGCGCGAAAGGGTGGCACAAGTAATGCGGCGGTCCGAACCATGGTCCCGCTCACGGTATACCATGTATGTGGTCTGACACGATTGCCAAGACTATTAAGCATCGTTATTGTGGTGTGCATTCTGTTTGTGGAAATGTTCTCCTGGGAACAATATCCGACAGTTCAATCGAATGACCTGAATCAGTTTCGGTATCTGTGGCAGCCATGGTCAACTCTGCGACAATGGATTGATTCTCGTTTCTTTCTCACCATCATGTTTCCTATTCCGTGTGCCGATGGATTCCTATTTCAAGATTTACTCAATCTGTCCGAGGTTATTGAAAACAAGGGTGGGTTGAATCGCAAACAATAACTCAACCAGTTGCAACTTGTTTTTGTAGATTTGTTCATTGTATTATTCCATTTAACCTCGTCATAATGACCGCTATTGATCCAGCGTACCCGAAAATACCAATTGTACTGAAATTGAAGAAATTGGTAATCAGGAATATTATCCAGTAAAATGTTTGTAATGAATTAAAAAACGAGGACAACAGGATGTGATTCTACTAAACAGGGAATGAGTGTGCAAATCGTCCGAGTAACTTAGGATATGATAAGAAAAGTTTTCTCCAGGAAAATGAAGCTTTTAACTCCCAATACAAGTCATCCAATAAGGAAAAGCCACCTTGGTGGAGTTTACAACATCCGCAATCACGTCCATATAGCACCATTAACCACGGATAGTAGCACTGAATCATCAAACAATAAAGTACTTGGCAGTCCCGTCACACCACTACTATCAACATCAGCAAGCACGTCCTCTCCACCGACCGGCGTTTTCGTCATACTCATCATTCGGGGCATCCAAGTATCATATTCCCAGTCTTAGCATTAAATTGTGGACAGAGAGTTCCAATCCATTGCAGATTTTCGGTCAATTAGTAGTAGTTCGTCCCGATGCGTCACACTATAGTCGCAAGTATAGAACGAACCGAGGAAAAATTCTGCTTTGTGTGCACAAATTAAATATTGGTACCTACATTGCATTCGATCATGATAAACATATATATATATATATATATATGAATTTCTATCACGCGGCTTCATCACAATCCTATAGAACTTCTTTTTATTGTTTTAAAGTAAAATTGTACTAGCAAATATATATATATATATATACATATGAGTAGCTTGATAAAGGTATTTCTATTGCCTGTGCGAAAGTCAACTTTCAGAAAAAAGAGACATGCGATTAGGGAAAGAATTGTGCGGAATTTCTCAGTGGTAGGTGCGGGCGATTGTATGTGTCGCAAAGGACGGCGAACGTTTTGCCAACATCGAATGCCTGAACTCCGACGAACTTACACAGGCACACACACAAGCACACAAACACAGTAGATCAAGCAGGTGGTAAGCGTCTATTCACCAGTTTTGCTTCCATTTCTCGAGCGGATCTATTGCTACATCAACGAAACAGGTACCCCGGGATTGACTCATTTTTTTCCGGGGTACTACAGCTTCCTCTATCCACTGTTCCTTAGAGGAATATTGATAAAACATTTTTTCACGGAGAAGAATATAAAAACAGACATAGGATAGCCCAACATATGATACAATATGCATCGTTCCCATGGAACGACACTCAGGCGTTCTTATTAGCGTTTAATTTTTCACCTTGGGTGTTTGCTTTAAACCGAGCCGGCATGGAGTGAAATTGATG